CTGTGCTCAACTTGCTTAGCAAACGCTGAATTTGGATATCTCCTATAATGACGCCATACATCTAAAATCTCACATAATTCATGTGCTTGTAATCGGTTCTGTGGTTCAGCATCCCAACATTTTTGCATCAGAATAATTACTAATTCGGGCAGGTTGTTTTGGGTTTTAGGTCGGAGCCCATTACAAATTCTAATTGCCAAATCTTTATCATGCGGAACTTCGTTGAAAGGGGGAGTACCAGATAATACTTCAGACATGATAACTCCAAATGCATAAATGTCCGCTTCCTCCGAATATTCCTTTCCGTATAATACTTCAGGTGCTACATATGGAAGTACACCATATATTTTTCGCTCTTTGTCTTCAGTAGTACATTCAGCAGTTTTTTTGGACAAGCCTAGATCCTTTATATAAGGCAAATCATTACTCGATAATAAAATATTTCCCGTATGAAAATCTTGATGGACCAATCCAGCCAAATGCATTTGCTTTAGACCTTCGGCAATGTGAAATAAAATATTAAGTTTATCATGCCATGACTTTTTGTAAACGTTATATGCATTATTTCTAACATTTCCATTTTCTATAAATTTCATAACAATCATAAAATTATTTGTTTCTTCATGTCGAGTAATTCCATAACACCGCGTGATATGCGACCAATCGCCACTACCGTGACAGGGATTGTTTATCTATATGCAAATAGTGGTTAAAAAACAAATATCAATTATTAAGAAAATTATATATAATAATCTCATATTTAAAAATTCGTTAATTACATCTCGTAAATCATTAAGGCGCTTCAGTGCAACTTTTGTTGTTCCCTTCCTTTCCCACCGACTTTCTTTTATATTCCAATAAAGAATATATCCGTCAATCCATTCTGCAAAGTATATTTCTCTAAAACCACCTTTGGCAACAAATCTCATATTCTTAAACTTTGAATACGGAATCCACTCAACAATATCATTCTTACTAGCTGCTGTTAACTGTATTTCCTTTATAAATGCGTCGATAGTATTGTTTCCACTTTTCCAAGTATCAAAATTTTGTTGAAAACGAAAAGAATTACAAGGATGACACCAGTAAAGGTAATTTGTCATCTTATGGCACTGATTACATATAATTCCTATAGTAATAAATTGAATCTTATAAATTGCAACAACTAACAAAAATTCCTGGATTTAACTTACCATCTACAATAGTAAAGGATAATGATATAATTAAATCTCACTCCATATGATTTTACAAAACGAATAACGAAAATGTTCTGGATTTTACTTACAATCTGCACCGTAGAGAATAAGAATACAATTAATTTTACATTTTATATTTTTTACGAAACAAGTAACGAAATTTCCTGGATTAACTTACCATCTACACAGTAGAGAATAAGAATACAATTAGTTTTACATTTTATATTTTTTACGAAAAAAATAACGAAAATTTCCTGGATTAACTTACAATCTACACAATAGAAAATAAAAATACCAATTAAATCTCATTTCATAGAATTAATAAAACAAATAACGAAAATATCCTGGATTTAACTTAACCCTCTATGACAGTAGAAAATAAGATTACAATAAAAAACATACTTCATATAATTTTTCGAAAACAATAACAAAAATTTCTGGATTTAACTTACCATCTACAACAATAAATAATAAGAATATAGTTAAATTTCATTTCATATTATTATACGGACAAATAGCGAAAATGTCTGGATTTAACTTACCATCTACAACAGTATAAAACAAGAATGCAGTATAATTAAATCTCCTTTTATATTAATTTACGAAGCGAATAACAAAAATGTCCTGGATTTAACTTACCACCTACAACAATAGAGAATAAGAATACAATTAAATCGCATTTCATATGATTTTACGAAGCAAATAACAAAAATACCCTGAATTTAACTTACCATCTACAACAATAGAGAATAATAATGCAATCAAATATCACTTCATATTATTTTACAAGACAAATGAAAATGTTCTGGATGTAACTTACAATCTACATCCGTAATGAATATGATTATTATCAAACCTCACCTCATTATTTTACGAAACAAATAACAAAAATGACTTGAGTTTAACTTACTCCCTATAAATTCGACAATAAATAAATCAATTTTATTTCAATATTATTTTCCGAAACATATACAAAAAATTCCTGGATCTAACTTACAATCTCCAACAGTAAGGAATTATAATACAATCAAATATTATTCCATACTAATTTACGAAACAAATAACGAAAGTGTCCTGGGTTTAACTTACAATCTATAACAGTAAAAAATAAGAATTTGATTAAATCTTATTTAACATAATTTTACAAAACAAATAATGAAAATGCCCTTACTTTCTACATAAGTAAAGAAGAAGAATACAATTAAATCTCACTGTCATTTCATATGATTTACAAAATATCCGGAATTTAACTTACGCCCTATAAAATTTGACAATCAATATACCATTAAATTTCATTTTATGTGATTAAATAAACAAATAACAAAATATCTTGGGATTTAATTTACCCCCTATGAAATTTAACAATCAGTACAATTATGTAAAGTAAATTTCATTTAATATGATTACAACATACGAAACAAATAACGAGGTTGTCCTGAATTTAGCCTACAGACTATAACAGTAGAAACAAGAATACAATTATGTAAATTTCATTTAATATGATTACAACATACGAAACAAATAACGAAGGTGTCCTGAATTTAACTTACTATCTATAACAGTAGAAACATGAATACAATTAAATCTCTTTTCATATTAATTACAAATCAAATAACGAAAATGTCCTGAATTTAACCTCGGCCTATAAAATTTGACAATAAAGATTATTTAATTTATTTATTAAACAAATAACGAAGTGTCCTAAATTTAGCTTACAATCTACAATAGTAGAGGATAAGAATATAATTAAATCCTATTTCATGTTTTACAAAATTTCCTGGATTTAACTTGCCATCTACAACAACACAGTAGAAGATAAATATAATTTTATATAATTTCACAAAACAAATAACAAAATGTCCTGGATTTAACTTACTATCTGCAATAGTATAAAATATGTAATTAAATCTCATTTTATATGATTTTACGAAACAAAATAACGAAAATGTCCTGAACTTGGCTTACACTCTACAACAGTATAGGGTAATAATACAATTAAATATCATTTAATATGATTTTATGGAACAATTAACAAGAATATCATGAATTTGGCTTACCATCTACAATAATAGAGGATAGGAATGCAATTAAATCTCATTTAATAGGATTTTCCGAAATAAATACATAAATTTCCTGAATTAACTTACAATCTACACAATAGAAAATAATAATATAATCAAATCTCATTTCATAGAATTAATAAAACAAATAACGAAAATGTCCTGAATTTAACTTACAATCTACAGCAGAGAGTAATAATCTCATTTAACATGATTTTATGGATCAAATGACAAAACGTCCTGAATTTAACTTACCCGATACTGTATAAAATTTGACTGTCAGTACAATTAAATCTCATTTACTATGACTTTATGAACAAATAACGAGATTTAATTTACTATCTACAACGGTAGAAAAAAAAAGATCGCGATTAAATTTCATTTCCGTAGCAAATAACGATAATGTCCTGAATTTAACTTACAATCTACTACAGTATAGAGTAAGAATACAATTAAATCTCATTTAATATGATTTTATGGAACAATTAACAAGAATATAATGAATTTAACTTACCCAATACTGTATAAAATTTGATTGTCAATACAATAAATCTCATTTCATACGATTTTGCGAAATAAATGACAATATTCGGACTTTAACTTACAATCTAAAACAGTAGAGAATAAAAATACAATTAAATCTCTGTTTCATAGGATTTTACAAAACAAATAATGAAAATGTCCTGATTTAACTTACCATCTACAATAAATTACAGTAAATCTCATTTCATATTATTTTCGAAATAAACACAAAACCATCCTGGATTAGCCTACGATCTATAACAGTGGAGAACAAGATACAGTCAAATATCTATTTCTTGTTATTTTACGAAACAAATAACTAAACCATTCTGGATTTAATTACCATCTACAAAGTAAAAAAAAAAATTCAATCAAATGTTCTTTTATATGGTTTTGCGAAATAAATAACAAAAATATCCTAGATTTAACTTACCTGTTATAATATTTGATGATTAATAAAATCAAATCTCATAGTATGATTTTACAAAAGAATAATGAAAATTACAGAATCTAATTTACTCACTATAAAATTTGACAGTATTATTAAATATTATTTCATATAAATTTAAAAATCAAACAACAAAGACATCAGGAATACCCAACCTGCTTCCTGTAAAATTTAACGATTAATTAAATTAAATCTCATATTTACGAAATATCTAACAAAAAATTTCTGGGACCATATACCATCTACAAGTATTATTGCTAAGATTAAAAATATATTACACTTAAAAACTTTAATAAATTGGACTTTTAAAAGACTAGCCTTTTGCCGCTTCTATCAATTTTTTTGTATCTTCCGAAATCATAATATACAAAATACAGTACTGTACTGTATAACAAAGCTCATCCGTATACAGTGTGGCTTCTATAAATAGTTTTCAGTATTACTGTAATCGTGTAACTTTACGATTACCTGTACAGTTGTCTATTCATGAACTTGTCCACTCCCACGTTATATTTTATCATAAATAAGCCGATTACATGAATTGAATATTGCTATATTTACTTCTTCTGAATAGATATATCTATAATGAATTAATCGATCCCAGATTCAATTTTTCCAATCGGACGGAGTTTCCCCTTTATAAATTAAAGGCATCCTGTTAATCTCATACCGTTCAGCATCATTATAATCTATATATTTGAATCAATGAGACATGTTTAGTCGAAGACTAGCTTACGGCTAATGATAAATTATAAGAGCGTTAGGGTTTATGATTTATACCAAATTTAGGATATCTTCATTTTCGTTTCTTATTTTTACTACTTCAGTTTTAATCTCAACAACTGCATCATTACTTCTTTCATTTTCAGCAACAATATCTGACCTATCCCTCTCTAACTCCTCGATCCTACTCCTGAGTTTGGCATTTTCAGCTTCGCGCTTGGTTCCCTCTTCCGAAACCTGCTTTAAAAGCTCGGTCCTCTCGAACTCAAGTCCAGCAATCTTATCTATAGGTCTGGCATTTTCCTGTTTAAGTGAATCAATCTCGGATTCCATTCTCGAAAACACTTTTCATATACTATATGCAAACATTCAAATAAATAACACGTGATTTTTGGCGAACAGAGTTCGCAGAAATTTTAAATTTTATTAATACATACGAAAAATAAATAAAAAGCCCGGGACTTTGCCCATGGTACATAGAAGAATCCAATGAGATATATTCCATCTTTCTACAATCACTAGATGACGAGTTATTGCGATTTAACTTTCCTGAAAAAGTGATTCAGAGCAGACGTTTTTTTCCCCAAAATAAAAGACACGGCGGGTGTTCTCTTTACCTCATGTATGCAACACCCCTACGGCATTCGTGTGTCATTAGTGCATCATTCGTGCGTCAACTATGGCGAGTTTGTAGTGAAATTTCCGTACTATAGTATAATAATTTATACTAATATTTATAATAAAATATTTTTTATCTACTTCTCTTCGTTCTTGTTTTGTGAGGTGACATGCTACGCGTGCTATAAAAATAAAGGTTTGTAAGTACATACATATTATCCTTGAATATTGCTGACGTAATTAACGAATACATATAGCTTATAATTTAATAAGCTTGTATCAAAGAGACAAAGTGTGAATTTGAAAGCCGAGAAATATCAATGCGACATTGATGGTGAGCTACAATACGATTTGCAAGTCTATCTTTGTGAAATGTCTCTTATATCTTAATTTTTAATTTTATTTCTTGTTTATACATTCATTTTGTGGAATACGGTAAATAGGTGAATTGATTGCATCAGATTCCAACTTTGAAAAGCACAATTTAAATAACGCTCCGATAGTATTTTATTTCCCGCCAACCACTGGTCCTTATACCAAAGCTATTTCAATAAATGTAGTTACATTTTCTTATTAATTTTTTTTTTAACTTGATTATTCTTAAGCATTATCTCTCTTATATATATATATATATAGTGGTGACTTTTCCACGGAAGAGTTTATCGGAACCATTTGAATTATTTATCTATATTTTTAATAATACAGTACTTTTCTTACTCACGGCATTATTTAACATCAAGTTGTTTATCCAATGTTCAATGGTATACTAAAAAATAAAAACTCGGGCTGCTATGTCACTGGTAAATATTCTTTTTTCAATGATGCTTGTGTTATTTTTAGATATCCCTTAACGACTCTTCATTTGTTTAGATTATAATTGTCATGATAATTTCTGGACACAAGTGAAATCAAATTCAGGGAATTCCATACATAATCTCCCAGAATGGTCAGATCAGCTATATTGGTTATATTGCACAAGCATTTTCAAATCAAATTGTAAATTTTCTATGTAATATAAAATATTGAGTATGATTGATTTCTGTATGGAACATACTTGTTTTGACCAAGTTACTTCTTGAATTTATCAATTTATCTCTTTAATATTAATTTTGCTGAAAATTGAAGTTACTGTATTGGAAAAGTCACTCGTATACAGTATATAAGTATATACAGTGTGTTACAAAAGTTTTTGAATTAATATTTTTTAATATAATTTAATAAATAATTATTTATTGTAAGCTAATTTTCTCAAGTGGCAACACATTTTCCAAAACCAAATTTTTTCTTTCTTTTTTTTTTTTGATGTTTTTTTTGATGTTAAGGTGAAACACTTCTCATGATCTTTATTGATAGAATAAATTAATGTTACATGATCAATATTAAGATATGAGATATATGGCTATACATATCGGTCTACCACCTATTGTAGTAAATATATTTCCAAAAAACCTTGAGCAGACAAAAAAAGAAAGGAACTATCTACTAAGAAAAATAAAAATAAAAAAACATTTGAAACAAGATCGCCATTTAATAAAAGAAAAAAAGTGAAAAAGAAGAGGTGTCAAAAAAATATTGAAGCTTTTGTTAAATGTGGTTCCTGAATGCAAATAAATGTTTTAGTTGGATGATGGCATCACGCAAGCCACAAATAACTCAATGGGTTTGATCAAGTGATTTTGTGATATGTTGCTGTTATATGATGTAGCTGTGTAGTAGTGTTATAGTGGGGTAACTGGAATATGTTCCAGATGTTTGTTGTTTTGTTATGGTGGGTTGTTGTATATTGTAATTACCGGAACCTGCGCAGGGCACTGATCACGCGCTCTCTCAATCCGGTAAGTTGTTGTATTGTTTTGATATGATTTGGTGATATGGAATGTCATTGGTGTTTTATGTGTTGCAGATCTTTTAGTGAAAGTAAGCTGATTTTGGTTTTTTTTATGTATGGAGATAGACGGGAACTGACAACTAGCCAGAAGGTTATGCCAATTAACCTGGCACTAGTTATCATCAGCAAAAAACAAAAACTCTGAAAAAAATAAAATGCTGCCTCTTGAGGAAAAGATTGTGTTTGGTTTTATATATGTTTTTTGTGATGTGATAGGAAGTGGTATGTGTGAATATGGTAAAAAGGTTTTCTTTTGTTTGAAGGTTGCTTATATAGGTTTTACTCAGTAAAGCAAAAAGTTTAATCAAAGAGGTTTTTGTCACTTCCAAAGCATCTATCCCTCTATGAAGAGTTAATCGACCCCTTGCATCCTGCAGAAAGTTAAGATGGACTCCTCTTTCAGAAAAAGGTTCTCGCTCGCTGTTTACTGTCTACTGTTCATGTCATTACCAAAAAAGAAAATTTTTTACGAATTGAAAAGTTGTGAAAAAGAGTTTTTTTTTAAATAAAATAGTTTTTAAATATTATAAATGCAGTATGTATTATAAATTACTTGTTTTAATTTATCATCAATTTCTTTTAAAACTTTTTGTATACTTAAATTAATAACATGAACAAAATATCGAAAATGGTTTGTTTTAATTGTAAATAAAATAACTTGATTTCTACTCTATTCTTCTACTGCAGTAGCAAATACTAAATTGTTACTGGTATTATCAGTTATAATACTTATTATTTTTTAATTTAATAAATAAATATATATATATATATATTTTTTCCAACTAGCGAGGCCTTTTCCAACATACTTTATTTAGTTTACATATATATTTCTTGTTATAAGACTTATTATTTATAAACTATTCTAGATATATGTTTTGCTATATTGATTTAACTTCATATCGGCTTGTTGTTATTAACTTACCTTGCAATATATATCAAGGCTAATGTGCCAGGACTTCGTTAGTATTGTTATTGTATAAATAATAAAAGAAATTGAAATTGATTATGTTTTTTCCCCGGTCTAGCCAGTTCTCTAAGAGTTTTTCTTATAGACTTCTTGCTTCTTCCATTCTTTCGAGTGGTGATCTGTGCTGTCTTGTGTGTGTGGCTTGGGTATTGACTTGAAGTTTTTGTTTTTTTCCCATTTTTTCTCTTCTGCTTATATTTTCTTTTTTTTCTCATTGCTGAAATCTCTTATATCTGTGGATCCAGAGTTTTCAGAGTTTCTCTGTCATTCTGTTTATGACTGTTTTCGGTGTATCTTTGATTTTTTCCCTGTTAATTTGTCCCACTAGCTTAGTAAGGTCCTTTTTGTAGATTTCCTTAATTATATACCTAATAGTTCTTTCTGAGTTATTGATGATAAATTCAAGTTGTTCTCTTCAATTCCTTCTTCTTTCTTATGTTTCTATTCTGCTTGCTATTTCTTCTTTTAGTATTTGTAGGTATGTAGTTCTAATCTCATCCCTATAGTGTTCGCTAAACATGTGTTCTGTGGTTTTTCATCTGTTGCATCAAGGGCATATTTTATTCTTGTATATGTCTGGCCTTCTCTCATTTAGCTTGTCCTTGATGGGGAGCTTTTCATTGAGTAGTTTGTATCTGAACTCTCTGTTGTTATGATTTTGTTGATTGGTGTAAAAGCTTGTAATTTTTGATGGTAACAAACTTGCCTATGTCCTTCTCCAATCTATCATTTTCTCATTGCCTATGTTTAGTCATGCTTTGTATCTCCTTTGTATTGCCCATGTACTGATCCACTTGTTGTTTTGCCATTGCTTCATGAATCCATTGGTTCCTATGTCCAGATCTTTACCATTCCATTATAACATTCCTATCATTCCTTTTATGTATTAACAGTTTATACCTATGATATATATATGGTCAAGCTTATTACCTTCCTTGGCCAGCTGGTCTGCACGATCATTGTATTTTTCCCCTATATGTGCTTTGATCTTTTTCAGTGTTGTTGTTGCTATCCTATCTCTGATCTTTTCCTGGATGAGAATTGTTATAAGTATATTTGTTTCTTTTGTTACCTTTTGTTTCACTGTGATTTCTGTTTGTATTGCCTGAATTGCACACTGGTTGTCTGTAAATATGATTGCTTTTGTTTTTGAGTTGAGGAGTGTTATTGCTATCAGAATTGCTATTAACTCTGCTCTTGTGAATAATGGGAAACCTTCGCATCTGTCTTTGAATTCTATTTTTTCAAGTGTTTTTCTGTTAATGATTATACCTCCTATTTCCATTTTTACCTGATTGTTATTATATTTTTCCATGGATCTGTCTGTGTATACCTCTGTGAATCTCCAACCTTGTATTTGTTCTTGGATATGTTCTAGTTCTTGTAATATTGGCCTCTGCAGTTTTAGCATCTTTAGGTTTGATGTATTTATTGTTGATTTGCTGATGCTGTTATTGATTTCTATGTGGATCACATTGTCCTCCTCTGGTGTTGAGTTGCTTCACATGTGCATCTGTCTAATCGATTTTAGCAAGTTTTGTATTCATAGGAGGTTTCTTATTATTTGGTTGAAAAGTTTCAAACTGGTTTTTGTTGTTTTGATTAAAAGTGTGATTGCCTCTTTTAGTTAAATACTTCTGATACATGTGTTTGTTTTTCCTCCTGTATCCATGTTACATTCTTTACATTTTTCAATAGATGAGTCGTCTGCTATTTGTATAAAGTGTTGTGCTCTGAATGAGTTTTCCAGAATCCTAGCCTGTTTGTTTATCTTTCCTATATATATGCTTTGATTAATGATAGCAGAAATGTATCTGTGTTTTCGAATAT